GCTGTGCTCAGGAAATTTCCACATTAGTGTTATGATGGTCCCTGTAGCTGTGGCATGTTATCCTGGCAACGTTCAGGGAATGGCCTTGACTCTGTGCAGCTTCTGTTCTGTGCACAGAGATGTTCTCTGTGCGGGGCTGACAACACAGCCACACACATTTAAAATAAACACACTTTGTGGGCTGCTGCTGGGCATGGTTTGTTAGACATGGTGAGTGCAGGGCTGGGTTCTTGGCCAGCCTGCACTGACACTGCCCCTTTGAGCTGAGCTGAGGCACCCTGAGTTATTCCAGCTGAACGGCTGCTCTGGGGAACAACATAAAGCTGTCTCAAACAAGGGTTCACTTCCACAACAAAATAAGAACAGCAGGGCTGGATGCAGCTGCAATGTGGAGGGAGGAAGGTTTTGCCATCCCTTCCCAAGCCATGTGTGGGAGAGGATGTTTGTGCTGTGCAGGGATAGTGAAAGGACAGAGCTACCTCTCAGAGCCTCTCCCACGTAAATCCACACTCAATAATGGACAGCACTACTTGGACAAAGATTTAAAGAATTCCTAGGACAATCACTTAGCATTAAAGCAGAAACATTGTTGCCTGCAGAGAAAGAAAACAGAACCCTTGGCACTATGTTAGGTCAGTGATAGCAGTTCTCACTGTCAGAGTTCATATTCCTTTTTTCATGACAGATTAAAATAACTTGGAAAGAAGCACATTGAAAGAAAACAGTGCAACAGAAATGAAAGCACATCATGGGAGGGTCAGGAACAACAACAACCATGAAAAAAACCCGGGGAAAGCAGCCCTTTTGTAAACCCCTGTCAGCAGAACAATAACATCTTTGTAACAGCAAAAATAATTTATAGTTTTGAGGGTGCCCTCTAGTGAGTGGGACCCTTGGGTGCTCTGATCTGCTGAGCAGAAGCAAAACATGCTCTGACACTCAACCATGCTCTGCTAATTTAAGAGCAAGCACTGGCTGGGGTGACAAGATGGCAGAGCCATTTTACAGCAGCATTTCTCAAGGGCCAGCCCTTAATCCTGCATATCTCCAGCTTGTCAAATATGTTTTGGATGCATGAACCTCATCAAGACCTCGTCAAGATGAGGGCATGAACTCTGTGCGAGCAAGTCCTCATGAAACAACTTGCTCTTGTGAACAGATAATGTCTGAACCAGGTGTAGCCCTCTGAGCCCAGCTGTAAACACGTCTGTTAAGGCTGATGTGCTAGGAAAAGGACACAGAAGAAAGAAAACAGCCCCTAGCCCTTCCAGAAAAAGCAGTTTTATGCAAGGAGGGTTCTTTTCTCTTCAGATCCATACAGCAGAGCAGAGAAAGGACAGTGCAGTGGCACTGAGCACATGGGGTGTGGTGCTTTGCCCTGGGCCACCGGGGATGTGTGCCCACCCTGATAGCCCACCCCACGTAACACAGACTGCATGCTGGCACATGGCCAACTATATCAGCTACTACAATATAATTCCCACTTGAAAGAATTTCCAGATTATTTCTTTAACTGTTTTAGCATGAAAACATTAAAGAAGAACCAGCGAATTGGCGCCAAAAAAGACTCATTTTATAACAATTCAACTCCCTAAGGATACTCCCTATTTAAAGGAGGAGGCAGAGTCCCACCTCTATGTGATGTGCTTTGATATCTTTCTAAATGCCCTAGTAATAAAGGAATAGAAGAAATTGGGAAGTTTTACTACAAGCACATAGAGAGGAGAGCTTTGGTATAAGTAAAGCTGAAGGAATAGGTAAAGTATTTTAAGGCCTCAATCACTATTTATCTATTTCTAAATGACCAGTGGATCTTCCTCAAGGCCCACTGCTCTGGAACTAATAAAACACTCAGCACCATTCTGCTGGGTAACAATTCAGAAGACAGGCAGGTGAAGCAATTCCCTCCCTGCAGGGTGCTCAGGCCTGCTGGTACAGAGCAGACAATTATTTGCCCCCATAGCTTGCAAAGAGAGAGAGCTGGTCAGTAGCAGATGTTGGTGAAGGTGAGTCTCACAAAGCAATTAAGAAATGTCACCACCCTAGGCTGACTCAGAGCTGCAACAGAAGATTCCTGCAGTGGGGTAGTGGTGGCAATGTGTCAAATGTGATCAGCCCTCAGCAAAAGCTGGACTTGATGATCCTTGTGATTCCCTTCCAACTCAGAATATCCTGTGATTCTACAAAAGTGCCCTTAAATTTACTCCTCAATGACGGCACCAGCAGCACTGCTGCAGCATGGGCTGCTCCCTTTCAAATCTATTTCATATTTGAGATCAGTGTTTCAGAACACTCCTTCCCCAAAAATGTAACAGTGCTTTTAGTTCTTTCTTTGCATTTCATCCAGTTCTCAGACAGCTGAGTTCCATCCATGTTTATCCCATGCCATGTGAGTGAAACATGTGTGATCCACTGTCCTCTATCCTGACAGGGCTCTTTCCAACTGCAATTACATTCTGATTAACCAATGTTCCCCAGAGAACTTCAGGGACATCAGAGTGAATATTTACAAAATAGTTTCCTTAGACAGAAAAAAAAGGCCATGAGTTTTCAATGTGCAGTTGGAAAAGTCTGCTGAACATCCTTAAGCATGCATTTGCAAGTATGTGCAGAAAAAGCCAAAGTAGAAATCCTTGCAGATAAAGAAAGAGTGGCAGGAGTAAGATTGCAGAGCTCAGAAGGGATTTTTGGGAATTGCTATGACTTACAACCATGGCTTTGGCTCCACAGACCAGAAGTCTGGGTTTATCAGCTCTACAGAAAATAATTTAAAAATCATATTAATCTGTATGAAACCAGAGTGTTTATACCTGCAAACTATCAGCAGTTCATCAACTCACTCTCATCATTTTGGTGTTTGAACAATGCTCTCAGGCATTAGTGTGATTTTTAGGACTGTCCTGGACAGGGCCAGTATGCAGAGCTTGATGATCCTTGTGTGTCCCTTCCAACTCAGGATAGCCTGTGATCCTCCAGCCATAGTCAGGCACTGTGCTCAGTACTGCTGGTCTTGGGGTTTCAGTAATTTTGGAAGAACTCGAGCAATGAAACCAGACAAGAGTTAGTCCATTAGGTATTGTGGCCCATTTTCAGTACACTAATCTATGTCATTCTAAATCTTGTGCTAGTATTGAAAATGTACATTAAAGTTTCTATGAGCTTCTGAATGAAAGCCTTTTTAAAAAATACTCATTTTGTCACTGCTATTTGAGGAGGCTGTTATTATTTGGTTTTTGGTGTTTGGAGTTTTTGTTTGTTTCTTTGTTTTTTTTTCAGGAAGAAACACAAGTCATAACTTGTTTTTGACCAGAACAAAACAAAGAAACCAGGAACAAGTCCTTCACCCTTAGCAGACTGTAAGTTCATTCATGGAAAAATCTCTCCTGTACTTGGTTATGATTCTGTCCACAGTACATACAGGGGAAGTTTTGAATTCTGAGACCTCTGGAAGAAAGGAAAGTGTCTGGAAGAAATAAAACTGTCTTGACAGATCACCTTCAAGTGACGCAAACATAGCCCCTAAACTCCATCAGTTTTAAACTTGTTTGCCCTGGGGAAAACAATGTATTTTCAAAATATACATAGTACCCAGACTGGCTGCCACTTGAAACAGCATCTGATACTTTTAACCCATGTAACCACACCTGGGGTGCTATAGAGCCCACCTGTAAATAGCAAATTAATTGCAGTAATTCCCTTTCACAGCAGAAGGTCTTGGACAACTCCAGATTTATCTATCTGAAACTGGGTGTCAGTGCCCAAAAACTCATTGTGCCCATAAGTGGTGAACCCACTCCTGATGTTGGCTGGTGCCAAGGAGCCCAACAGAGCCCCCTGGCCAGACAGGGATTCTCCAGCCTCCTTGGTGGTCTTTCAAAAAGGAAATTCTCAAGCTTGTGCGCATTTTTGTTGCTTCCACAGCATTCAGACAGCCCAAGCCTGGGCAGGGGTTTTAGGCTGCACAAAGAGCTCTGTTAGTCCAGTGTAGCGTGGGGGCCTGCTAAGAAGGGAAAAGAGGGTTCATGAGTTGGATGCAGGACTGGAAAGGATATGAAGTAGGTTTACAGATAAAATTGGGAAGAGCTGTTAATTCCCTCGAAGGCAGAGGCCTTGCAGACAGATCTCGACAAATTAGAGGGCTGGGCAATCACCAACTGTATGAAGTTTGAAACTGAAAAGTGCTGGTTTCTGCACCTGGAACAGGGCAGCTCTGAATGTAGAGACAGACTGGGGAGCTAAGAAAGGGACCTGGGGGTCCTGGTTGATGGGAAGTTGGATGTGAGTCAGCCGTGCATGGCAGCCAGGAGGAACAATCCTGTCCTGGGGCATCAGGAGCAGCATCGCCAGCAAGGGAGGGGATTGTCCTGCTCTGCTCCGGCCTGGGGCGGCCTCACCTCGAGTGCTGGGGGCAGTTTTGGGTGCCACAAAATAAAGAAGGATTAAAGCTATAAGAGAGCTTGCAAAGGAGGGCCACAAGGAAGGCAAAGGGTCTGGTGGGGAAGCCGTATGAGAAGTAGCTGAGGGCACTTGGTCTGTTCAGCCTGGAGGAGACTGAGGGGAAACCTCCCTGCAATTACAACTTCCTCATGAGGGGCAGAGGAGGGGCAGACATTGATCTCTTCTCTCTGGTGACAGGACGTGAGGGAATGGACCAAGCTGTGTCAGGGGAGGTTTAGGAAAAGGTTATTCACCAGAGGGTGGTCGGGCTCTAGAACAGGCTCCCCAGGGCAGCGGTCACAGCCCCACGGCTGACAGAGTTCCAGCAGTGTTTGTACAATGCTCTCAGGCACACGGTGCGCGTCCTGGGGCGTCCTGTGCAGGGCCAAGAGTTGGACTCGATGATCCTCGTGGTTCCTTTCTAACCCATCATATCCATGATTCTGAGTTTATTGACAAACGCGAGTCACAAGAGTGGTTTCGCTTTGCCCCGCCGGCTCCGCGCCGCCGCTCCGGGCGCACGGAGGTGACGCCTGAGGGGCGGTGGCAGCGGGCGGGGCGGCGGGGCCGGGCCGGCGCCTCTGCCAACCCCGCCGGGCGCTCGGGACGCGGCGGGAAGGGAAATTTTGCGCTGCGGACGAAGCTTTCGCTTTCCTGCAGAAAGAAGGGAGCGGCCGCGGTTCCCGAGTGCCCCGGCCGGGATGTGAGGGAGGCGGTGGCGCGGCCGTGACGCGGCGCAGGGCGGGGCGGGCGCGGGTTGGTCCGGCCATGCCGAAGCGCTCCTGCCCCTTCGGGGACGCGGCCCCGCTGCAGCTGAAGACCCGCGTGGGGCTGCGGGAGCTGAGCCGCGGCGTGCGGGGCGAGGAGTACCGGCGGGAGGTGTTCGGTGAGCGGGGCGCGGAGGGGGGAGCGCCGGGCCGGCCGCCCCGCCGGGGGGATGTACCGGCCCGCCGCGGCCCGCGGGCATGGGGAGCCCGCCCCTGACTCTGCTCTGCTCTCGGCCGGCAGAGAGGACCCGGCGGCTGCTCTTCAGGGGTGCCCAGGCGTACATGGAAGGCGCGGCGGCCGCTGCCCGTGCCGCGGAGCCGGGGCCGGCCGGGGAGGCGCAGGGCGAGGGGTCCCGCTGGAGCGGGCAGCTCCTCATCGGCCACGACGGGAAACTGCGGCGGCGGCCCGCGGACAGGGGTGAGTGCCCGGGCCGTGTCACGGAACCGCGCGATGCCCTCAGCTGGAAGGGACCCAGCGAAGTGCAGCTCCTGTCCCGCCCAGGACATCCCCGACGTTCCCACCGTGAGCCTGAGAGCGTTGTCGGAATGATTCTTAAACTCTGGCGAGCTTGCGGCCGTGGCCACTTCCCTGAGGTGCCTGTTGTAGGGCCAGACCACCCTCTGGGTGAAGAACATTTTCCTAATATCCAACCTAAACCTCCCCTGGCACAGCTTGAGACCATTCCCTTTATTCCTGGTCACTACAGAGACCAGTGCTGTTCCTTGACTTCCCCTCCGAAAGAGGTCTGTACGATGATGAGTAGTGTTGTGCTGTGTAGTTCTTCTTTACTGACTTTCCTTAAAGGAAGTCTGTTCGGATTTCGGAATTGCAGCGCGTATATTCTGTTTTATCATCCCTTAGTCTTGCTACTGAGCAGAGAAAGAACCAAGGAAGTTCCAAGCGCGCTCCCTGTCCCTTGGCATTACCCAAGTGCTGCCACCTGTAGCTGTACACGGCGCCGCGCTCTGCAGCCCCTGCGACTTCCAGCTGCTTTCTCTGCCTTGCTGTAAAGCTCATCCCATCTTTACCTTCTTTACCGTTTGCCCAGCAGTTCCGCCGCTGGGAGCGTCCAGAGCCTGCTCGTCGTGTGTGAGAGCGGCCGATGTGAAGGAGGCGTGTGCGCAGTGTGACCGGCTCGTCTGCCAGAGCTGCAGCAGGCTCTGCAGCTGCTGTAACACGGTCACCTGCTCCTTGTGCTCCGCTGTTGAGTAAGTGCCTTTGGAGTTCGGGAGCTTGTTTTAATTGCACGTGGCCTGATAGTCGGGTGCAGCAGATATCTAGCTCATACACAAAAAGGAGGTAAAGTCTTCCCATGCTTTAACAGCAGTAAAAGTGTCTGAAACGTGCAAGCCAAGATGCATGTATGAAGCACTCTAATCAACTATGGTACAAGTCTCGTTCAGCTTCTTGCTTAAATGCTTTAGGAGGCAAAAATTTCTCTTGCCTTCCCACCAGCAGTATAGCATGCTGGCCAGTGCTGAATGCATGCACTTCCAAGGAATAATCTTAATTTTTTCCCCCCTCATTGTTAACAATCCTGTGGTATAAAGAAATACTGAGTGTGCTTGTGTGGGAGTCGCGTGGTTGCAGTTGATAATGGAATAGTGTGGCATTGTTATGTTCCAGAAACAGTAGGCACTCTGACTTTTGTTTCTTCTGGCTTTTTTTTTTTGTTTCTTTTTTCCCCTAGTTATGGTGATGTGGGAGAGCAAGTTCTCTGCAGTGGTTGTTCAGTATTTCAAGTCTGAAACTTGATGAAATAACCCTTGTGACTAAAACATCCATGAATTCCATGAAGTCTTCTCCTTGCAGCTGATCAAATAGTCCTTTTAGCCTATGAATTAGTTATGGAATTTCTATGTTTTATATCTTTATATTGTACTTTTAAATATTGTAGCTAAATAAACATTTATATTTTAAAGCTTTTTAGATTATTTTGAGTCGGCTTTCTCCTTTTCCCTAGTTGTGATATGCCTGTCTGGAAGGGACCACTCTGTGCTCTTACCTGGTGTTCCTGATGTGATACAGGATTCAGAATATTCTCCTTGCTTGTTGGTCATGTTAGGACACACTTTTGTGGGATCAGAATAGAAATCAGTTGCTCCTTCTGTGCTTTCAGGTGAGTGTGAATCCACTCTGGACACACAACATTTCCTTTGTGAGCTTACTAGGAAAATCAGCCAGGCCTGAGGGCTTTTACAAATAACAGAATTTGCTGATTCTGGTTAAGTTTTTTTAAGCTATCACCAGCAATTTGTGTTTACTGACAGATTGAATGGTTTTAATCTTACTATAGAAACTTTGATAGAAAGAGCAGTAGCACACCAGGCTTGGAGCAGAAAAGTTTTTCTCATTAGTAAATGAGAATTTTCCAGTACCTTCACTGAAAGCAACTTATCTGTATGAGTTTATCACCTACACTGTTAACTTCATATTGTTCTGAATACACACTCAGAAATAGCTCATGAAGTGGGCTGAAAAATGGTCAGCACTCAGGGGTACCTCTCCATAAACCAGCTCATTCCTCATTTTCTTTTCAAATCAGAGGCTTGGTGTTGTTTGTGCTGTAAGAGTTAAGTACAGTACTACTGGACAGCCCCTCAAAGTAGTTTTCTTTTACTGATTTTGCTCTGTTTCATTAAAAAAAAGCCACTTTTCATCTGGCAAACCAGCTATGCCTAAGAGAAAACTACAGTGGCCTTTACCTCAGGAAAATGCTGATTTGAGTGGCTGATTTCACACTGTAGATAAAAGGAATAGGTTTGGCACACACAAGCAAAGACATCCTTGTGGCACAGCTAATGGTCTGTTTCTGAAATTCTTTGCCCTGAACTGAAGCAAAGCTTGCCACTCATGCTTCCCAGTCTTCTCAGCTGTAATCAGTATGTTTTGGGTGTAGTAACCTGATTTTACCTGTTTCCCTCCACTTTAGCCATTTCTGTTTGAAGAGATGGAAAGGCCATTGCAGTGCAGTTTGAGAGCCTGACTTCTCCCTCGTGGGGACACCTTTATTTGACATTCTGTTGGAGGCACTCTGGGTGTTTGCCTGTCAGAATCCTGCAGCTACCCTAAGAGAATGGTAAATGTTTTAGCAAAGGGTGGGGGTGGCTGTTGCAGGAGAGCAGCTCTTCATAGCTGCAGTGTCATGGCTTTGGGTGCATCAGCCACAGTGAGGTGCAGGATGACATCCTCTCTGGCCTGTGTAGCACTTTGTGTAACTGCAGGCACACTTTGAAAGCATTTGTGCACTTCAGGGTTTCCTGAGGGGTGTCACTTCACTCCCAGCCATCTGTGCCAGCTTGGACTGACCATCTGTGCCAGCCTGGACATGCTGATGGATCTGGTTGGTTTTCCTGTTCTGCATGTTTTGGAGCCAGTTAAAATGGGAGACTTTACTGGTTCTTACTCCAGTCTCTGTTTTGAGCAACTCTGAAATGTGTCTTATCTTCATTCCCATAACAAACAAACAAAGAAGTCTTAAGTTAGGTGACTTGGTAGTGGAAGAATTAGCTGGGATGTGCAGGAATTCCATAGCATTATTTGTCTTTCCAAAGCTCCAATAGATGAAGTCAGGGTGGTGGCAGATCTCTGGTGCAGTTCCCAGCTGGTGTCACAGGGCAGATAAAAGTGTTGCTCCTGTGACAATCATTTTAAATCACAAAGCTCAGTTTTATGGATGGGAAGAACCTGTGGTTTACTGCATTTAGATGTTACTTTTAGGAAAGAGTTTAAAAACTTGGCTGTGTTTTATTTGAAGCTTTGGGCAGTGAACTAAAGCGTTTTTCAGTCAAGTATATTTTTCTAAATGAAACCTTTAAGTATGTGTCTGCTTTTTCTTACTCTCTCCTGAGGGTGAGAGACTGAAAATAATGTTTTGCTTCTAGGCTCTGGGAGAGATGAGGCATGTTGTTTACAAATGATTTGTGTTTCAAACTGGTGATAGAAATGGTTTTTTTTGGCTCATTTAGTCACTGCTGTATTTCATAGAAAGCTGTCCTCTGTAAACAATGACATAAATTTCATGGCTTAATGTTCATATTTGTTATCCTCTAGCTGCTTGAAAGATGGCTGTGCATTAGGGTAGATAGCCAGTGCAGGGTGAGGAGCTGGGAGAAGAAAAGCAGGAGGGGCACAGAACAGCATGGCCAACTCTTGCATAGGGGAGATCCTTCTTACATGTGAGAAATGGGGTTTAGTGGCTGCCACATCTGCTTCTCTGGCTTCAGAAGGTGACAAAACTGCCTGTGGCTACCAAAAGCCTCAAATATTATTCAGGAAAGTTCTTTTTCTAGTCCTGCAGTTCTCAGATAAACAATGGGAGGTAAGACTGGAGTCTGTTTGTAAATCTTTATAATGCCTACAGAAAAAGACCCCAACCTGTGTGAAGGGAAGAATCTTTGGGTGAGAAGTACAAAGATTTTTCTCTTTGCCTAATTAACTCCTCCTCACAAGGACTTGTCTGTTGCCACTGATCATTGAGCTGTTACAATACAACACATAGGGTACCCCTAGGACTGTAAATGAGAGCCAGAGAAATTGTCTGGTTTATTAGCTGAGCAGGAAATTGGGTTCAATCCTGTGCTTTTTTGTTGTAATTGTATGTTCTTCCCCTCCCACTCAGTGCAAAGTGTCAAAAATCAAAGTTTGCCTGCGGTTCCAAGGGAAGGAGATCCCCTGAGGAGCCAGCATATTGATGGGTAAAAATATCCTGCAGAAATGATTTTACAGATGGATGAGAAACTGCTGAGGCCTGTGTATCATTACTGGTGACATTTGTCTCCAAGAACAGACCTTTATGTCCAAAAGGAAGTCAGCTGATCTGATCAGGATAAAGCAATTTCTCTTAAGACTAATAACTGAGTCAGTTCTAGAAATGTGTGGTTTCATAGACATCAGATATTTAAGGACAGTCTAAGGTGGTTAATGACTGCAGTATCTCCAGACTGTATTAAAACAAACCCACAACATTGTAAAAAAGCTCACTGAAAAGAACAAATGCACTTGAGCTGTCTCTTCAATAGCATTTGTCCTGTACACAAAGGAATTCCCAATTTTTGCAGTTCAGTCCAGAAGTCTGCTTTCCTCCAAGAGAAAGGTGAGCCATTCTACAGTGATCCAGACAACATGAAAATTAAAAATGAATAAATGTTAGCTCTCCATTCTGTGATTGACGTGTCTTTTGTTTAACACAGCAGCACCTCAGCTTCCTCCCCTCCTTTTTGTTTTAGTGTCCTACACATTTGGGCTCTGACTTGTACTCAGTTCATAGGCTTTTTTTTGTATTCCTTTCTGATCAGGTGATAACTAGATGCAGCTGTGTTTTATCTCAGGCCAGGGCATAAACCCCAAATAATGCAGGTGGGAGTGAGAGACAATGTCCTTTTTTCCTTACAAGCATGGGCAAGGCATTTATGCTTTGTTCTATGCTGGGTTTGCTGCCATCAGAAGTGGCAGCAATGTGCAAAGGGCTTAAATCTGAATCTTACTTTGAACACGTGCAGCCAAGGAGTAGAAATGGAGACTGTTATCTTTGTCCCCAGGTTTGCTGGGCCTCTTTTCTTTTGAAAACTCTCAACTGGCCTCTGGCTGGGTTGGTGAGATGGCAGCAAAATGCCAGCACCATGCAAGGAATGAATACTTCTGTCTCTCACCGTGCTCCCTAGCAGTCATTGCGTGATGGCTCTGGATTTTGACAGGATCAAACTGGATTAAAAAATTGAATCCCAGCAAAACTTACCTGTCATTAAGCTCCCATAAATGGAGTATGTGTACAAACTTGCATCTCCTGCTGCTCTGTCACTTTTGCTTAGGTGTGATACTGTTTCATCATGGCAAATTCTGCAACCAAAAGCTCTTTGTGCTGCCTTTGCCTCCCAGCTGGATTCCGGGAGCATTGACTGCCTGGACACCAAGCCCTCTCTGCTGACAGAGTGTGGCAGAGCCCCTCCTGTTTGTTCTGTGTCTGTCCAGCTCTGTCCTCTGTTCTTTGCAGAGCTTTACCATGGATTGTCAGGCTAAGCTTAGACCAGACTACTGCAGGAGCATGTGGGGCTGTCCAGGGAGGGAGAGGGAAACCTCAACCCCCCCAGAGCAGCACTCAGACATGGGCAGAACAAAACTGCTGCAGCAGCACAGGTGTCTGGTTTAACTCGGCTGTTTGTGAGGCCTGGAAAGGCCCGGGGTGGCCTTGGGGCAGCCCGCGTATCGAAGGACGAGAAGAGGCTTCAGTTCTTCTTTCGGTTTTTATGTTTATTAATTGTTTATTTAAAAGATGTTCTTTCAGCTAAACAAAGATCTGCTCAGCAGTCAGCCATGGGCACACTGTCTGCCCTCCCGGGCAGCTACGTATCTTTATACTCATTGTTACGTATACAATATTTATCATTTTTCTCCAATACTATCTATTCTTATAACTTGGTGTACTCTCAGTAATAACCAATCCAAAGGTGCCACCGTGGCCAAAGAAGATGGAGGAGAGGAGGAAGAAGAAGGAGGACAGGACACACTCTAATTCTTCTATTTTACTTTTCTAAACTCTCTTGTACATAAATCTTAAACTTTGTGTCTCACTCTCTAATTAACTAATCTTTTCACTATTCACCCTGTGAAGCTTTCATCCTTGTCGTCTCTTGTGTAGGGTTAAAGTCCAGCTACCAGACACTTCTGGCAACATTCCAGGACTCTTGAGCCCCCCAAGGTGGTTTCGGAGGCTCAGCATCTCAGGACTGAGATCCTGAGATCTGACACACAGGGACCCCAGAGCCAGGCCTGGCAGCACAGCCTGGGCTGTGGCAGCCTGGGAAAGGAGAGGGACGCGAGGGCTCTTCCCAGAGAGCATCCTGCCCCCAGCAGGCTTCTGAGTGAGGGCAGGTAAGGCTGAGGGAGATCACTGCTCCTGCTTTCCTTCACTCTCTTTAGGGTCTTTCACT